TCATAACAAGCTTATTTAATAGTTGAGCAAACGTTTTCATTGGACTGCCCATATATAATATCTTAAAAGATATCATTTGAACTATAAAGTATATATATTCCTTATTAGTTGGATATAGCCTGATACGTCTGTTCGTTTCTATACAAACCAGTCTCATATTTGATGAATTCGTTCATTAGTTCAATTTCATTTAGTTCATTTTGCCAAACATTGCAAAATGAACACTATGGCTGCTTTTACAGTGGCAGCTAATTAATTAGTTCATAATTCTGTGCACACCATTGAATAAGTCCAATTACTCCAAGTGGGCACATTATTTTTGTCGCTGCTGTTGATCCCGTTAAAGGTTTAAGCTGCAGGCACAGCAGAGAGCGAACATTCTGGTTGAGGGGCAGAAAAATGTCCACTGCCCTGCACCTCATTGGTCGCAACGCCTTTGATCCCGTTAACTGAGCGCGGGACTGCCTAATGCGTGCGTGGGATCCAGCTTTATTGGGCTATTTTAGTCAGTGCGCGTCTCTCCCGTCGATCGGTCGTATACGTTGTGCGTGTAAACAAAATCATTTAGTGAAAAGTATTAAATTAAATAAATGCTGCTTAACGCGATTAGTTTGTGCTTGTTAATACCATAAATCAGTCTTCCATTCGCTCTTCGCCCTGCAAGATATGTGTGTGTGTGTGTGTGAATTTAAGAAGCAGTTAAGTGTGTGTTCTTTTTTATTTTTTTTGTTCTGCTGCGTTTTGTCACTCAACACAAATTGGCGCGAAATTGCGCGTAATCCACAAGCAAAGAGAGAGTGAGTGAAAGAGAACGGGCGAGCACTTTTCTTAGCGTAAGTGCTCTTATACATAAGTATGTACAAACATACATACATTTACGTAGTTCTTCACTTGATTTAACTGTTAAACAGCTGAGTATTTTTCTGGGCTTTTAATACACATGATTTTTATTATTTCTTTGTCAAAACTCAATCAATTTTCAAAAGATTTAGCATTTTGTTCAGCTTATGAGCTCTAGATTTTCTTAAGAATTATTTATTTATTAATTTTTGAGAGAATGTATTTTAAACGTGCCACGGGCAAGGTCGGGAAAACCGCCTATTATAGACATATGTAAGTCAAAATTTGCCATCCTCAAAACTCGGTCAAATGTCTTCCGAGTTTTACGAGGTTTGCCTTTTTATTCATAATTTCGCCTCAAGTTCATTTTCGATCGGAATTTCCCAACCCCATAATTCGGTCAAAACTCAACCGATTTTCATAAAGTTTGGCTTTTTCTCCATGGTTTGACCTCTAGATAAATTAAGCATCTAAATCTGACAATATTATTTTTGGTCAAATTTCATATGAAAATGGAACCCTCAAATATCCTATAGACATAGGTCGAAATTTCCCACCCCCATAACTCGGTCAAAACTCAACCGATTTTCATAAAGTTTGGCTTTTTGTTCATGGTTTTACCTCTAGATAAATTCGGCATCTAAATCTGGCAACATTATTTTTTGTCAAAAATCATATGAAAATGGTACCCTCAAATGTCCTATGTACACATAGGTCGAAATTTCCCACCCTCATAACTGGGTCAAAACTCAACCGATTTCCATAAAGTTTGGCTTCTCTCCATGGTTTGACCTCTAGATCAATCGTGCATCTAAATCTGGGAACATTATTTTTCGTCAAAATTCATTTGAAAATCGTACCCTCAAATATACTATAAAATTTCAAATCTCATCCGATTTGGCATCTAAATCTGGCAACATTATTCTCGTATTCTATTTATTTACAAACTTGGCTAGTAGAAAAGGTTCGGTCGGCAGATATTCTTTTCCGTTTCTTTATTAAATTTATTAACTCCAGAACAATTAAGGTCGTAAAGACTTACAACAAGAAGATGTTGTTTGTATATCTCTTTTATGGAACCTCCGGGTTCTATCAACAGCAAACTCGACTCTAGATTTGCGGGGCCTTGTGCTCAGCCCGAAGCTATAACCACTTGAGAATTATATGCAACAAAAAGGCGACAAAGCTAGCAAAACTGAGCCTTTTTCTTTATAAGTAAAAGAAGTTGCTTTGTAAACGATTTTCTTGTTTTATTTTATGTTTTAAAATCTAGTCTATTCGATTTTCGGCTTGTGTATATACATATATATACATTTATATATATATTTATATATATCTATTGACCGGGTCATTAAAGCCACAAATCTTGGCAGATCTTCTCTGGCTCTCTCTGAGATTGAGCACTATTTGAATGAGGTTCGCTTTGATTTTGTTTATGCTCGTGTAATTGTAATTAATGAAATCGTATTGAATTACAAGCAGCTATTGAAATAACCAACACACGTCGCGAAGTAATAGCAACCAGTTCCCAGTTCCCAGTTCCCAGTTCCCACTTTACCAGTTTTTCCAGTTAACCCCTGGAAAAGCATCAAAGTTGCGCCTTAATTGAATTTCGTGTGGCAAAAGTTTCGACGTGTGTGTCCTTTCGGGTTTGGGCCACAAAAGTTTCGGCGAGGCGCCAAGTCCTTTAATTGCAATTTGCTTCAAGTTCGTAGTCGTTACCCCCCTCCTCCTCCTCCCTCTCCCTCTCCCTTCTCCGGCTAAATGACGATTTATGTGCTTAGCATTTGTGTTACATAATGGCGGCAAATTAGTTTCTCGACTTTTTGCCAGAGCACAAGGTACGCAATTTAATTAGCAAATCCCACGCCTGTCGCCACATTAAGTGGCATTGATTGTGGCATTAACCGAGAGAGAGAGAATACTTGAGATGACGAATGGACCATTGTTGCGCTAATTAATTTAGATTTATGTATATATGAAATTAATGTCCAGTTTGGAGGATTACCTAACCCGATGCGTGCCTCTCAGCTGATAGAGTTTAGCTGCCAGGCAAACTTTACTTAAGCATTAGAATGATATTTGTTAAGTAGACTTCCCAACGGTGTTCGCTTTGGGGTAGTACAATATCATTCTAACCAAAACTTACCCATATGCAACTAAAACATCAACAAATAAGAGTCTGTATTTATTCTTGAGCATTATCAACAGCCGAGACGTTAAAGACGCATTTCTCTCTCTCTGACATTCTGTTTCTAAGCATTACTCATTTTTAAGCTATTCTTTTTAAACTTGACATCGATTCTTCTCGTTATCATACTCAATAAATATGTCGCTATTGTCCAAATCGTACCACTTCATCATACATCTGTCATTCAATTCCCAATCAATTGCCATACAAAGCTGACACCGTTTTGTATAACCTTGTATAAGGACATCATGAAATATGTAGCGCATAGCAGGAGACATCTCCGACCTCATAAAGTATATACATATATTCTATATCAGCATCAATAACTCAGTTGACATAGTCAAAGACAATATAATTTGTCCCTTTGTCTCTCAGTTTTGGAGCTACCTTCTTGAAACTTTGCATAGGTACGTCTTTCTGTTGCAGCCCGTGCATATGTTGGTATAGGACGGATCGGTCCACTATATCATACAGCTGCGATAGGAACGAAAGGTCGACAGTAGTTTCTTCTATGAAAAACATTTTTGTTATTCAATATACTTGACATTCATCAGTTTCAAAAATCTTCTCATATATGTATGTATAGGCGAAATCTTATCAATATTGGACCACTATATCATATAGCTGCCATAAGAACTATCGGTGGAAAATTAATTTCTTGTACGAAGAACATTGTTTTTCAAAATATCATGATGAAATGCGGCATTTACTAGTTAAACTAAGCTGTTTATATAATAGCCAAATATTATTAAGAGCGCTCTACTATATTATAAGGCATTATAGGAGGAATCGGTCGAAAAATAAGTTTTTGTGCGGCAAAATATTCTGTTTTTCCATATATTTTCATCCAAACTCAACATTTAAGAGATTCGCCAGCTAAAATGTCTGCGAGGGTATTAAATCATTGATGTGCCGAAAATATGCTTGCTTTCTTCTTGTTCTTTAGGGTTATTTAAACAATTTTAATAATTTTGTACTTCAAATTCTTTAAGTTCCAAGCACTTCAATTAAAGCTTATGAACATTGCAGTAATATATAAAATAGATCCTGCTGAAATAATCAATTAAAAATTTAGATTTTGGTGTAAAAAATGATTTTGTTTTCAAGAAAAAAATCTTCCTCCTTGTTAAAGAAACTATCTTAAAACTGACTACACGAATTTCGGAGTATCTCATCTAACTAAACTGAGAATTTGCCAACGTTCAACACTTTAATAATCTATTTATTTATGTACTCTCCATCTCGTATAACATCACCTCTTGCCAGCCACTTACAGGGCATCTCTTGGCCATGCATATTGGCCTCTTATTTTTGTTTAGCGCTCTGTCGCACATAAATCTTTTGATTTTCAGCGCCGGGCTAGGCCAATTCGCACCTAATCCACCCTTAAAGCACTACACCTATCCAGAGATATGGGCTCTACCCTTGTTGCCTTCTTGTCGCGCACATTCATTAGACGCGTCGTCCTGGTCGTCCTCGTTGTCCTGCGGCCGTCTGTTGGGAGTCATTCCTTGAAAATTGCCAATTTTCGAAATCGGAAACTTGCCAAAAACGAAGGAAAAACGAAGGAAACGAAAAAAAGGCAAAAGATAAACAATAACAATGCGTACGAGTTTCTGTTTCCATTTTCCATTTTCATTGCGAAAAGTTGCCAGCCACAACGAGAAGAGAGAAGAGTCGTAATCTTTTATTTTCTTTGTCTTCGACATTTTTCATTTTAAGGACGGGCACTAAACAGCGGGGGGATTAGGAAAGGGACACGGACACGGTCCGGACCAGGCCAGCCACGAATCTGACGACCTTTACGCATTGCATTGACCTTGTGACCCGAGCGAGAGCGAGAGAGGTTGAGAGAGCGAGAGAGAGCGAGAGAGAGCTATTGCTTGGCCAGCTGGCTGCTGATTAGCATTAACTCTCAATTTGACCATTGAAATGAATTCCAGTTTTTGTGTGTATATTTTGATTCTCGTATAAATAGGTTTTTATTATCGATTAGCTCGTGCTTATGGAATATGTTTTGGATATAAAAATCGTGTACACAAAATTCTGTGTGCCTATTTACAATTTGTGAAACATTTTGTTTTGTGTTTATACTTCAACTTGGCCGTTGGCACTTAAAACTAGACATCAAAATGGCTCTCAACGAAAGTTTCGTTAGCTCGAAAGTCTCAAAAGCTTTCAGCTGCGCTTAAAGCTCTGCTTTTGAGCTCTTTGCAGCTTTAAGTGTGCTTAATTGTATACAATGTATTAAGCTGTAAATGTTTGCAAAGCTCTATTTATAAGATTGAGCTTTAAGTGAGCTTTAAGTTTGCTTGTCTGTAGTTACTTGGCGTATAACTTTAGCTTTAAGTGTGCGATTAATCACGCTGAAAGCTTGCAGCCGCACTTAAAGCTCTGCTTTTCAGCTCTTGGCAGCTTAAAATGTGCTTAATTCTATACAATTTATGAAGTGGCAAATGTCTGCAAAGCTTTGCCTCTCAGCTTGAGCTTTAAGTGAGCTTTAATTGTTTACCCTTTTTAAGCACTTCAAAAGCTTTCAGTTGCTTTCTTAATGTATTAAATATTTACAGGCAAACAAGCTGAAAGCTTTCATTTGTTCTCAAAGCTTTTCTAGCTGCATTGAGCTTTAATCATTTACAATTAATCAAGTCAAAAGCTGACATTTGCTTTACTTAAGCTCTGCTTAGTGAGCTTTCTTGAGCTTTTACAATTAAACAAACTGAAAGCTGTTTCTTTCATTTTTTATGGCTATTTTCAGCGCATATTCTTGGCCTGGAATTAAGTCAAAGTTGGCTTTAAATAAATATGCATATTGTTAATATTAGATACGAACGGGTGTCGTATGTGTATATTGATTCTGAATCGCTTTGTGTCTTAATCTAAATAGATGTTTACAATGTAAATCGTATATATTTATGTTAATCATAGCTATATATTATTATATAATATTTACAGCGCTTTTATGCCGCTTCTCCTATGTACACAAAGTCAAACGAAATGGAAAAAACTCGTATAACAACAGCTTATGAAAAAACTAAAAACAAAATGTAAACTCTTTAAATATTAATTAGTGCACGCCTTTACCCCAGAGGGTTAGTGAGGGGTTGCTCCGAGTGGGGGGTGGTTTTTGGGTGGTTGGTTGACGCGGCTTCACTTGCTCTTGGCCAGCGCATTGTTGCTGGTTGCCGCTGCTTGCGGCCGGGCGCTGCCGCTGCCACCGCCGCCGCCGCCGCTGCTGTTGCTCTTGGCCAGCGTCGTCGTCGTTGGCGTCGCTGCCGGCGTCAGTTTGTGCGCGGCGGCATGTGGCGAGGTCTTGGGACTGGCTGCAATCGCTTGACTGGCGGCCGTTGGCAGCGTTACGGTGGGCAACATGGGCATCACGGCCTGTCTATGCTCACCTCCAGCTCCAGATCCTGCTCCTGCACCGGCATCTCCGCCCGCGATGGCCGCACTCTTCAGCTTCTGCAGATAATCGTTGAAGACCTCGTTGCCGGCACGCTGCATGCGGGAGAGCTGATCCATCAGATAGGCCTGCTGATAGTTGTAAATGGCGGGCGCAAAGTTGTACAGGAGATTCGATTGATTGGCCGCAGCCGCCGCCTGGGCCACCTGGGCGGCCGCCTGGGCGCGCAGATTGTCCTTGAGAAAGTTGCTCAAGTCCAGCTGATTGGCGCTCGACGCGATGCTCAGCGGCGCATTCGGATTGGGCAGATGCGGATGAGGATGCGGATGGGCATGACCATGTCCAGCCGCTGGTGGACCCATAAATTTCAAGCTCGAGCTGAGAGCTGCCGGCGGCGGCGGCGTTGCCTGTTTGCGTTTGGCGCTGGCCTTGCACAAAGCCTGGCTGCCATTGGCGTGCGCGAGCTTGGCTGGCGTTCCGCCTCCGCCTCCTCCGGCGCCGGGTGACTTTTTGCTGGCGGGCACCTTTTTGCTGTTGGGCAAATTGGCGGCAAAGTTGTAGCCTGCGGGCTGCTGTGGCAGCAGCTTGGGCTCCGTTGTGGCGCCTCCGTTTGTGGCATTCTGACGCGGCAAAATTGGTCGAAACTTTTTGGCTGCCGACTCGCCGCCATTGGGCGTGGCACAGCCAGAGGCAGCAGCTGCAGCAGCAGCAGACGCTTGCGCGGATTTGGGTGATTTGTTCTCGCTGGAATTGGGCGAATGGCTGCCCTGGCTGGCGGCGCGCTTCTCCGGGCTGGGCGTCTTCTTATCGGACTGCTGGGGCGTCAGCACCGGCTTGGCCGGGGGCGTTGCCTTGGGCGAGGTCTTGGCCGGCACAGCTGCAGCGGCGGGTGGGGTCAGGCGCGCCAGCAAATGCTGCGGCGAGGGTATCGTCTTGCTGGGCGGCGCCGGCAGCTTGACGGGCGGCTGAGGTGTCGTTGTCGTTGTCTTGGCCGGCTCCTTGTGCTCGGCAGGCGCCGCCGGCTGATCGGGCAGCTTGACAATTTCGATATAATTGTTGACCGGACTCTTGTGCTTGGCATGGCCGCCGCTGCTCGGCGAGGAGGCGTCTCCGTTGTCCCGCGAAATGGTTATCGACAGCGACGAGGGTATATTGATGTTGCATGAATTCAAAAGAGACTTGACCTTGACCTGCTGCTTCTCGGGCGCATCCTCGGCGGCCGGATTTGTGTTCTGATCCGTTTTGGTCGGCGGCGTGGGAAAGAGACCGCCGCCGCCGCCCGCGCCGCCAACTCCGGCGCCATTTAACATGCTCTGCAAATAGTTGCTCGCATTTGTTGTTGTTGTCGAGTTGTTGTTGCTGTTGTTGTTGTTGTTGGTTGTTGTCGGCTTGGGCGTATATTTGTAGGTGGGCATGGTCGGTATATTATAGTTGGACACATATTGCGGCGAACTGGGCGAATAGATGGGCGAATTGGGCGTGTACATGGGCGTGCGGCAGCCGGGCGGCGCCTCCTTGCCCTTCGACTTGCTGGCATTGAACAGAGCCAAATTCAAGTAGTTCGATTTGTTGTTGTTCGAGTTCGAGTTGTTGTTGTTGTTCGAGTTGCTGTTCGAGTTGTTCGCGTTGTTGTTGGGCTTGTGCAGCGCGCTCGGCGGCCCCATCTTGTGCTCCGGCATCTTGGGCCCGTAGACGTGCGCCTTGGCCTGGCTGCCAATCGACTTGATCTCGGTGCCGACATCCTTGAGCAGACGATTCACATCGCTGGGTATATTGGCGAACGGATTGGGACGCGCCGCCTTCGGCAATATGGGCTGATATCGCTTGGCAATGGGCGTCCGATTGCCGGGCGCTGCCATCTGCATGCCCTGATGATGCGGCGGCAGCGGCGGAGCGTGCGCCGCCGGATAGGGGCTGGGCGGCAGCTGTGCCGCCTTGCGGGCGGCTGGCACGGGCAACGGCTTGGCCGGCGGCGGCGGCATCAGAGGCTTGTCAGAGGCGAGCGGCTGCGGCTGCGGGGGCGGCGGCGAGGGGCAGCTGTTGGGCGCGGGCAGACGTATCTTGAAGTCCTCGCGCGGCAGCGGCGGCGACAGCTTCGGCTTCTTGGACACGGCCTTGACGGGCTCCTTGCTCTTGCGCTTGGACGAAGCTATCGACTTGGGCGGCATCGCGCTGGGCGGCTTCATCAGCAGGCTGTCGTCCAGATTGGACTTGGACTTGGCGGCGGCAGCTGGCGGTGCTGGCGCTGCATTGCCCGGCTTCTCCGGCGACTCCAGCTTCACCTTGATGGGCGTCAGTGCGAATGATTTGAGAAACTCGGATTTGGGATCCTCGTGGCAGGCGCCGCTGGTCACGCGCGGACTAAGCACGGTGCTCACGCCGTTTGGACTCAAAATGCGTTCCGTGCGGATGGTCAGCGGGGGCACGGTCAGCGGGGAGGGGCTCTTGCGTTTGCGTTCGCTGCTGGAGGAGGAGGAGGACGATGAGGAGGAGGAGTAGCTGCTGCTGCTGGAGGAGGATTTGGGGCTGCCATCCTTGTCCTTTTTGCTCTTGGAGCGCGATTCCTTCTCCGGTTTTAACGGCTTCACAATCTCCTTGCGCTCCGGATCGGACATGTTGATGATTGTCACGCTGTTCTGCTTGGACAGATCAATCTTTAGCTTTATGTTCGGCTCCTCCTTGTTGTAGTTGCCGGTGGGCGTGGTCGGTGAGCTCTTGGCAGCCTTTGGCGAATGATGATGATGATGATGATGATGTCGCTCGTGCGGCAATTTCTCCTGCTTCTCCAGCTGATTGCGATTGATGAAGAGTTTGAGAGACTGCTCCGTCGGCGAGGCCAATTTGGGCGCAATGCGGAACTCATCCTGCGGCTGCTCCAGCTTGATGCGGGCGGGCGGCTGAACCGTTGCAGCTGCTGCTGCTGCTGCGGCTGGTGGTGAGGGTGAGGGAGAAGGCGACTTGACGAGTGCCGCAGCGGGGGGCGATGAAGTGGGCGTGCCTACTGGTGTGGCTAGCTCCTGTTTCACCTGCGGCTTGGCAGGCACCGTCATAGGCAACGACGGCTTCATCGGAGGCTGCGGCGATTCGTAGACGCGGAAATAGAAACGCATTGGGGCGTCCCGCTTCCACGTGTAGATGTAGGCAATGTCCATGAGCGTGTAGTAGTCCTGCAGCACAATGGTCTTCACCTTGTACATGATGTCGATGCTGAAGTGCTGCGCATCGATCTCGTACTTGTCGTAGACGAACTTCTTCAGGTGACTCACCCGGCACATGGCCGGGCATTGCAGATAGCGCGGGCGCAGGGTATCCCCGAATTCCACAGCCGATTCGGCATTCAATTCGCTAAAGGGGGTGAAAAGAGAGTGAGCGGAAAAAGCGGGGAATTAGAAGGTGACAAACGAACTGGTTCGTAAAACAACAGGCAAAGAGTTGCCAGATTGAACGTAAATTTAAGATTTTTAATAGATTTTTAGTTAGTGCAAAGAGCAGCTAGGTAATTAATCTCATGCATAAGGTTGCCAGACTAATGCAAATTAACTTAAAAAAATTTCTTAAAAATTAGTGAGTGGAAAAAGCGGGAAATTATAAAACTGGTTCATTAAACAAAGGGTTGCCAGATTGAGCGTAAATTTAAAATTTTTATGGGTTTTAAAGTTAGTTGAAAAATCAGCTAGCTTATTAATCTCATGCATAAGGTTGCCAGACTAAGAAAAAAAAAATTTTTTTAATCTTTTTTGAGCAGTTTTTACCAAAATACCAAATATTCTAAATCCCCTTCAACCCAACTTAATTTACATACGTTCAATATTTTGCCTACATTGCATCAATATCTTACTTATTGTAGTCTGGCAACCTTAACGTTAAATATTTATCGTTTACAATCGATAACTCGCTTAATTTAGCTAGAAACTTACCCTAGTTCAGCATATTCCAGCGACAGGGACATATCATCGGAGGGACCGAATATCAGATGTTCGGTATCGTCGCCCCGCTGTTCGGGCGTGGCCAGGGCCGCCTCCTGTGGACGATCCTTGTAGAAGGCGCGCTTACGCATCAGCTCCCGTTCATAGAGGCCCGGCACGAGCTTATAGACAATCGCCTGCAATGTGGTATCAGATCTGCAAAGAGAGAGGTAGAGAGAGAGAGAGAGGGGGGGCATTAGTTGAGGTGTTGCACAATGCGGCTGCCTTTAAGTTGGGTACGACATGTGTGCGCAGTCAAATGGAAAACACAAAGAGAGTGTGAGAGAGGAAGAGAGAGAGAGGGAGGTAGGTAACTAGGGTGCGAGTGAGACAGAGCTATCAGGGTGCCGGGGATCAAAGAAGACGGCTGCAGCGCTTAGTTTGCTTGATGGAAAGCGGGAAAATGTGTCGTAAATAAGAAGTCAGCAGCGCGTAGAGAAGCGACTTCCTTGGCGCGAAGGAAGTGAACACAGAGACAGAGAGAGAGCGAGAGAGGGAGGGAGAATAGTACAAATTAGACGGCAGATGCAATTGCTGCCTTGGCACGCAACAAACGCCGCCAAAAGCGGTGGCAGGGGCAGCAACTGTGTGGCATGCGCTGTTGCTGCCACACAGCAGAGGTTGTTCTTGTCGACGCACAGGAACTCGCATTAAGTCGCATTTCATAGAAAACTCAGGCGCTCGCCTTCAATCAAATCGGTTTTTGTCTAAGGAGCCGAACAATCGAAAAGACCAGCAGAAAGGCAAAAAGGGAATTTCGAGCGAGCACAGTTGTTTATAGGCGCTTAGCTAGGGGTAACTCAGCTCAGGCTCAGGCTCCTGTGAGGGGTAGCAATTGCCCCGCGGATCCTTGCCATGAGCCAAAAAATATTGAAAAATAAAAAAAATCAGAACTAGGTAGGATCATTTACATGCCAGCGGGCTTTAAAATACAAAAAATAAACCCCACACATTTAAGGCAACTCAGCTTATGAGAGCCGTGCTTAAACACAGGACAAAGGCAGGTAGAAAATTGACAAATTTATAATAATTAACCAATTAAAAGCAAGCTAGATTTGAAAATACATGATAAAAGATCATGTTTGATATAGAAATTCGCATTTCTGTGAATAGGCAGGCTGACAGAAAGCCAGAACAACGATTATATGAAAGAGGTTATGCGAAAGATTGAGATTATGTAAGAGATTGAGGTTATGTAAAAGATTGAGGTTATGTGAAAGAATGAGGTAATGTAAAAGATTGAGGTTATGTGCAGGATTGAGGTTATGTCATAGTCATTTTCCACTGCTCGAATGTTGCAGTATGCATAAAATATTGCTCAGGCATGTCTCTAATGCCTAAGGACAAACAAACAATAGAACATATCAAGATACATCTAATTTACCCTCCCTAAAAGGTAATAGAAAAGTGTGAGGTTATGTAAACCACGCCCGAATGATGTATCATTCAGGTATTACACTACCTTTAGACAAAAATGTAGCTTTAAAAAACTCAGTAAAAGTGGCCTGAATGATGCAGCATTCACTACAAATGCATTCCAGTCTCTATATGACATAGAAAATGGGCAAAAACTAAAAATAAACCCAAAATTGAGGTTATGCGTGCATGTAAGACGCGCATTCCACTAGCCGAATGAGCTGTCATTCATATTTATGTAGCAAACAGAAAGCGAGTGTGTCCTTAACGCGCATTGACAGCTCGGACAGAAGTTCGTATAGCAATTTGATTGTAGGTTAAGTGCACAAAAATTGAGGTTAGTTGACATCAGATTCCACGCATCGAATGAGGTGTCATTCGCCGAATGTTGGCAACAGGCTTTTTGGGGTAAGCCACATGAATGTCACATGCACAAGGCATTGGAATTGAAGTTTCGCAAGTAGATTGAAATTCTAGTTTGGTTACAAGCCACGCTGACACGCCCCGAAACCCGCCCACAACTCTAAACTTTGCGAGAATGTTTATGAGCTGAATGTTGGGGGTAGATGGAGGAGAGGGGGGGGGGTGTATATTTTCGGCTGTAACCACAGAACTTTCGCTGCGGCAAATGTGGTTTGGGCCAACTTTGGGGCATCAATTGCGAATGTTGCTGGGGCTTGGAGGGGGCAGGACCAGTAGGAGGGGGAGGGAGGGGGGGAGGGGGTGTCTACTGCCTTCTGGTGCTGTACACCTTGAATTGAACTTTGCCGCTGTCGAAAACTTGCCGCTTCTTCTCTTTTTTTTTTGTTGTCTAACTTTATTTGATGCCTGCCAAATATTTGCACTTGCCCCCGTCAGACTCGAGCCGACTATTGCCGTCTCTTTCGCGCATTTGTTACGACTGTCTGTCTGTCTGTCTGTCTCTCGTCTGGCTACGCACGTTTCTAATGAAAAACACGTTCGTGACGAGCGAATCAATTTAAGCTACAGCTTTAATAATGCGAGCAAATGTTTTGGCTGCAGACACGCAAAAAAACCACCCGCTGCCAGTGTTGCCACCCCGTCCATTAACCAACCTGCCGCCGCCTGCCACTCAGCTTATACAAATTGTGCGCCCTGTTGTTGTTGTTGTTGTTGTTGTTGCGACTGGGAGTCAGGTTGTAATCTCGTTGCTGCATACAAAAAGATAATGAATACACAAACTCAAAAGATAGCCAGAGTCGAGGGCCAGAGAGGGAGAGGGGAGGGGGGGGGGGCAACTCTCTGGAATGAATGAACCTTTTGCCTTTAGATTGGCAGCACCAACAGAGCAAATGGTGCGAAGTCAGCAGAAAGAGATATATGTATATACTATATAGTGGGACTATCTGTGCATAAGCGAGTAGACAAGTGGTTTTTGTACGTGGTCTCGACTCTCCAATTAAATTTATTGCAAAACTTTATTGTTTAACCCACAAAAAAACAAGGAGGAGAAGTCCCTCGCCGACCAAAACAAAAGCGAGTCTATTTATTTTTGTTTTATTAGCTATTTTCTTTGGCCACAAGGTAAACAAAACCAAAGAAAGAAAAACGGAAAAAAAGAGCGCAACTGTAAACTGAAATTGTGGCCTGTTGTCGGCCATGTTTTTATTGTATTACGCCCCGAAAGCGACATTATAAAAATAAGAAAACAACAACAAAAAAGTGCTGCCCAACTGATAAACTGCAAGCCACCAAAAAAAAACGTGGCAGCATTTGCGCCAAACGCATTTCCAAGAAAACCAAATCGAAAAACGACAGAGATAATTAACGGGCGGGTCTTGTGCCATCGGCCAGAGGCAACTGGTGGAACTGATGGAGCAACTGGAGGAACATTCACAATAGCGGCAGCAGCAACAGCAGCAGCTGGAAACAGTTCACAAAAGCCAAAAGGCACAGACGAGTTCCTGTTTCCTCTTCAAACCCGCCTCCTCCGTTGCGAGCGAGTGCTGCCCCCCTCTGTTCCTTTTCTTTTTTCTTCTTCCTCTTTTTTTTTTGCTTTCTGTTGTTGTGCAGCACCGAAATTGAGGCAAAAAGACAAGACAAAAAAAAAACAGCGCAAAGCTATTTCGTGTTCCAACTCGCAAAGCGCCTGAGACAATTTTTTGGGCTTTAGACTTGTTAAAGGCTCGTTAAAAAGGTGGATTTTTTTGGGTTTACTTTTCTCTACAAAATTCCCCAAATAGTTAACTTTATATATGACATATAAAGTTTTAAAGCTTTAAATATTTAAAATGTTGTAAGACTTAGCGCACTTTAAAACAGTTGGAAACTTGCTTTAGTTTTAAACACGAGTTTAATTCATTTTAGGTGCATTTCACAATCATGGAACTGGCAAATGAAACAATTGGAACGCGTGGAATGGAAACAGTTGGGCATGCCCAAGCGTCAAGCAGTGTTGCAAAATAATGTTCAATTATGTAGCATGTAATTTCAATACATAATTATTTTTTTAATTTTTTAATTTAATTAATTTATTTAACTATAATTTTAGTTTTATTTTTTACTTTTATTTATTTATAATTTTTTTATTTTAAAATTTTTATTTTTTTTTTTAAGTTTATTTTAGTTTTATTTTTTACTTTTATTTATTTATAATTTTTTTATTTTAAAATTTTTATTTTTTTTTTAAGTTTATTTTAAATATTTTTTTTAACATGCATTTCTTGAAATATGTGAAAAATAGGGAACAACTGAATGGGGATAATTATTCTCAGCAGAATTTACTCATAATTTCTGTTAATACTATCATATTTTACTCTCAACTGTTTTTAAACCAATTTTTAGTTGTTTTTCACAAAAACTCTGGAATTGGGATGTTTGAGAATTGGGCCTCTTGAGCTCTAAGATGTTTGTTATAAGCTTTTGCTTCAGTTTGTTAAAATCTCCATTAAACAATCGAGTTCAATGGAACTCTATAAATGGTTTATTCTACAAAAAGACTCAAACAGCGGGCCGTCAACTGCATGAAACCTTCAGATGGAGCCCCGCTGCTGCTTCCCTTCCCACGTCCTGTCAATGTCATTTATTCTCAAGTATTCTGCGTCTAATATTATATAATTGTGGTTGTCAGCGACAGTCGCCAAATGTCTGGAGTAGCTAGCTATATATATATATATATATATTGAGCCAGTTATAAGATGTATTTATAACATTCTCTTGGAGCTTGTACTTACTTGATGTTGGGCTTGGCATTGTTGATGACCATCTCGCAGCGAGGACAATAGCGCTCCTTGCGCAGGTGATTGATGAGGCAACTGTGGCAGACTGCAATCGAGAGAGAGAGAGAGAAAGAGAGAGAGGGGGGATGAGCACGAGATGAATAAAACAGTTACAAATGGGGCAAAAAACACAATAAAACTAGGTAAATTATTGAGCGGGGGGATGGGGGATGGGTGGGTTGCTGTACACAGATTTGGACTCGTAGAAATTATACAAATTTATGTAAAACCTTGACGAACATAATTCCCCGAGCGTAACGCACGCCAATCCCAGGGACAAGGCGACCCCAACGCAATCGTATAGCCCGGCTTAACCCACGCTCTGTCCACAAAATGGGGTAGACTATATAGATATATATATAAAGAGAGAGAGAGAGAGAGAGAGAGAGATAGAGAGAGAGAGAGTCGGAGGGGAGAAAAAGGAAATGCAAAGGCAACGAGAAATCCAGCCATTTAATTCAAGCGTGCCACCCACGCGGCGGGCCACACAAAATGCTACAAAAAAGTGAAGAAATAAGCAGAAAAAAAGCGAATCAAATTCTTGCACTGGGCCTACGCCCGACTATGAGATACTCTGTAGTTAGTTTAGAGGTTGTTGAAATCATTTTGATTGCAAAAGGCAGTAAAAAACAAGAATGAAATCTATTTGGTGACGAAATCTATCAGGTATATAATATTCTAGTCCATCTATTTATTGGGGGTATTTATCAAAGATATCTTTAATTAAACCTTGTGATCACTAACGAAAATTTCTAGAAATTAAGTTGGTTCACAATGGTAGCTACAAACGTACTAGAAATCAAAATAATTCACAATGGCAGCTACTTAAAATAAGAAAGCAAAATATTTCGAGGGTAGAGCAACAGGAAATTAGATTCAGAATGGTTCGAAAGAAGACCTACATGAGATTGGTAATCAAAATGATTCAGAATAAGAGCTTAGAACTTTCATAAACTGGAATTAACCAGAATTGGAATTGCAATTAAATATAAATAAATATATAAAGTTACTTCTTGGAAAAATTAATACTATGGTATATACCATACTATATTATACTATAATTATGGACTTTTGGAATTTACCAAAAAAATACATTTATAACATTATTTATAGAAATCCATAACTCAAAAAACTGTCACATTATGGTACATAAAGATTTATTAAAAATCATATGAAGCACATTTTTATCTCAAGATCCAAAACAATACACCCCATTTTTCCCCCAGGAAATAGAGTATAAAAGATTGGAGAAAAATTCCTTTAATTTGGAATTGACCAAAATTGAAATTTAAAAAAAATATACATATATATACAAGGATAAGGTTTATATATACATTTATCCAGAACTTTAGCTACTTTTTGGAAAAACTGTGATACTTTGTATACATTTATACAGATCTCTTCGATTTTCTTGGAGCATGTCAAGATAATAGGAAACCCAATTTTGATGCGGGCAATTTTGAGCGCTCAACCCGCGAACCAATACACCCCCATTCCCCCTCTTGGGAACAGAGTATCAACAGCGAAAGAAAGAAGAAAAAAAGTTTGTTTTGACTTTAATGTCAATGGCAGAGTGTCTGATGCTGTCCGTCGTCCCACGGAGCGCAACAACTGTCAACCAGCGACAGGAACATACAGCACCAGCGACAGAGATTGAGACTGGACCCAGACACAACTTGTGGCAGCATTCGGGCGGAGTATAAAGTTGCAGAGGCAGAGGCAGAGACAGCGCCAACGGAGGCAACACATTCGGTGCGCCTGTTACGCTTGTCTGTCTGTCTGTCAGACAACGAGAGAGGGAGAGAGAGAGAGAGAGAGAGAGGGAGAGAGAGAGAGAGAGAGAGAGGAGAGAGAAAAGTGACAGTATTGGGAGCTGGTTGGGTGGCGCCACGAGGACGAATGGCCTCGAGTAGCTGCCACTACAGCAAGGCAAGCTCTGCAAATGCAACAAAGTTAACAGCAAACCAAAAAAAAAAAAGAATATATGAAAATAGAAACAAGGCAACAGCTGTTGCTGGCATCCATTTAGTGCGTTACAAACGCCAAACGAGACGGGGTGGCAACTCTAACCAAGGCTCAGCATCCCCCTCTCCCAGCATGTGGCCATGTGAGATGTGTGTCCAGCTCGAGCAACAGATTTAAATGAGCCTCGGGAGCACATGAAATGCCATCGACACATTCGGTTTGTCAGATTTAACTGGCTGAATGATTGACTGACTGACTGACTGGCTGGCTGACTGACTGACTGATTGACAGACTGAGTGGCGCACAATGGGCGGCTAACTGCATTTCGATTGGCAGTCAGCGCTTAATGGCCGCACCGGGATGTGATTAGAATGTCACAATTGCAGAGAGAAGAATTGGCGCTCCAATTTGTGTGTGTTGTAAAAGCAGGAACTTTGTCTAATTAGTAAATGACATAAATGTCAACGATCTGGCAGCACTTAATTGGCCTAGAAGACTTAAATAAGAAGAAAACTGAAGTTTCTAGTGTTGGAAAGTGTTTGCAATGCAATAATGTTGACAACTCTGCAAATTGTGAATAGAATAACTTTGTCTAATTATCAAAAGACACTCGTTGCACTCATAAATGTCAACTATCTGGCAGCACTTAATTGCATTTAGTACACATTAAGTTGGCTGCGCTTGGACTAGAAGACTTAAATAAGAAGAAAACTGAAGTTTATAGTGTTGGAAAGTGTGTGCAATGCAATAATGTTGACAAGTCTGCAAATTGAGAATAGAATAACTTTGACATTCGTGGCACTCATAAATGTCAACTATCTGGCAGCACTTAATTGCACTAAGTACACATTAAGTTGGCTGCGCTTGAAGTAAAAAACTTAAATAAGAAGAAAACCTAAGTTTCTAGTGTTGAAAAGTGCTTTAAAGGTGAGCAATAATGTTGACAGCAAATGTTAACTTAGCTGCATTTAATTTCTAATCAATCTGACAGCAATAAAGAACTTAAAGCGGACTTTTAGCTGACTGCGCTTAAAATATAAGGAAATAAAAGTGAAAAATGTCGCTGTAAAAGCGTGAAAAGAGCAGGAAAAACTGTAGCTCGACGCTCGAACCGGAAATTGAAGTAACGAAATTTTCAAAAGACAACTAAAACGTTGTCTTCTTCTTTTAGCCTGTCTGGTTTTTCACTTTTCCCACTGCAACAGTTGAAACCAAGTCTGTTGGCGGGCAGAAGAGTGGGGGAGAGGGAGGGGGGATAGAGAGAGAGAGAGAGGTTTGAGTTTTCCACTTGAAAGTTGTCTGATTTATGGTTCAGCAGTTATTAAGCCGAGTATTCTCGCAGAACCATTTGTAATTATTTAGTCAGACATATGTGCCATACATCTAACTCCAGCCCGAAATGCTTTTTCAGCTTCGAGACAAGAGCACTTGCGGCTATATAGAAGATGTTTTTTGAGGTATGTATGCAAAGCACAGGTGGAGAAAGAAGCGGCAGAAGCGGCAGAAGCAGCAGCAGCAGCAAAAGCTGGCTCATTAATGGTGCCCATTAACTTATCGCCAAGGCAGCATCTGGCTTGGCGTCTATTGCACAGGCTCAGACTGGAGAGAGCGCCAGGGGGGGGGGGGGGGGGGGAAGCTTTAGTCAGTTTGTTGTATACCCTGTAACGCATAAAAGAGGGTGTATTGGTTTTGTGGAAGTGAGTTAAAGGGGCTGAAAGTGAGTTTGGCGACTCCATGAACTATCTTTTTCCTCTTCTTTAATAACTTTCCTCAAATCGATAACTATCGATTACTAGACTAGGTCTATAAGAGTCTATAGGAGCTAAATGGTCTTTCAATTTGGTATATCAATTGTTTGAAAAGCACAAACAAATCATGTTTATTGCAAATAAGCTGTTACATGTTCAGTTCCGAGGCTATCGATAAATATCGATTACTAATCAAGGTTTACAGAGAAATACAAGAGCTTTCTATTTGACATATCAATTGTTTTAAGAGCAAAAACGAATCCTGTTCATATCAAATATCCTCTAACTTCTTCAGTTCATCGGCAATCGATAAGTATCGATCGACGAATCATGTTCATATCAAATGTCCTCTAACTTCTTCAGTTCATCGGTAATCGATAAATATCGATTTTCACCCTTTTTTTAGCTTAGCTCGCAGCTGATAAGTACAGGGCATCCGGCTAGTCGCCTATAGCCCACTAACTAACTCTAATTAGCTCTGCGCCTATCCACGAGTGGCTCTTTGGTGCTGGCTGAAGGGGTCTTGAGTTGGGATTAGAGTGCACGGGGGGTGAGAGGGGGTGGATTTGGGGTTGTAGCTGCTGGGGTACTTACACGAGTGCAAACATTCGACGATGGTCGTCGCATTGATCAGATAGCCCTGGCACAAGTGGCAAATGATGTGCGCATTGACGGCCGTTAGAAGCACGGGGCGTGGCGTTGTCATCATCGATGTTGTTGACGATGTTGTTGCTGCTGTTGTTGCTGCTGTTGTTGTTGCTGCTGCTGCTGCAGCAGCTGATGGCGCCTCTTCGTTTGCGTGCTCCTCGTCCGCGGAGGCGCCGCCGTTGCTGTTGGCGTCCTCAATGTTGGACCAGGCGGACGAAGATGACGAGGAGGAGGATGATGAACATGACGAGGCGAATGATGAACCCTCCACAACAGCGGCTGTTGTTGTTGTTGCTGTTGTTGCTGCTGCTGGAGGTGTTGATTCTTTCTTAATGCTGTTGCTGCTGTTATTGTTGTTATTGTTGCTGCTGCACTCGAGCAGCGCGTTTGCTGTTGCTGCAGTTGCTGTTGTGCATTGTGTGAATGCATTAGTTGCTGTTGTTGTTGTTGTTGCTCTGTTTTCACTTTTTATTTTAATGCCGTTTGCTACACTGTTTTGTTGTTGTTGTTGTTGCTGCTGCTTTTGCATTTGCATTTTATCAGCACTTGTAGCCGTTATATTTATTGCATGCTTTTTGCTGCTGCTGTTGTTGTTGTTGTTGTTGTTCAGATTGCTGACAAAGCTTTTGCCCGCCTTCGTCGCTTTAGTCGCCTGCCCATTCGCAGCCAATGCCAGTGTTGACAAATGCAGCGACGGCGGCGACGACGAAGAGGCCGACGCAGCTGCTGGCTTTTGTGTATTCGCCATTGTTGTTGTTGCTGTTGCTGTTGTTGCCTTCGACTCCGGCGTCATCATAATAATAATAATAATAATAGAAGTCGCGCTAAATTCGCTTTTGTTTCTGCAAAAAGTAAAGGAGAGAAAAAATAGTAGAAATTTAATATGCAGCCCAAACGACAAATAACAAATGCAAATATGGACACACACACACAGTCACACTCATACCCATTTATGCATATGCATGAATGGCAAAAAGAGAGCAGCGAGTAGGGGTATTCACTGCATGTAAAAAAAGTTAAATTCATAAAGTGCCAGGCAAATATATTAGAAAAATGCAATTTAGTGGGTACACTAAAAGCTCGAAAATAAAATATAAAATAATAAATAAATATATATTGTAAAATTATAAAAATAAAAAAAAATAAAAAAAAAATATATTCAAAAATAAATAAACATAAAATAATAATCAAAAAATATTTAATAATAAATTGGAATAAAATAATAGATACAAATAAAATAATCAGGCATGCATAAAAATAAAATAATAATTAAAATATAAAATATAAATAAGATATACATAAAAATAAAACCGTAAGTTAAAATCAAAAATATAAATAAATAAAAGCTTTTATACTTCATTATTCCTAATTCACTGAAATGGTACGTCCAGAAATACGAATCTTTTGCATTAAGATTTACTTCTGAAAGCCCGTTTCCCATCTTTTCTTCAAGCATTCACTGTATGCTCTTGCTCATCAAATAATCCTTAGAATACAATATGTAAACACAATAAAAAGCGCTTCAAGTTGCCAACACACATCTTCAATTTCCACTCAACCATTTCGGGGGAAACACACACACACACACGCACACACACACATGAACTAAATTCTACATAACGTCTTTGGCCTCTGTGAGTTTGTGTGTGAACTAAAACAATAAAAGATAAAGCCGAAAGCAAGAGAACAGCTGTTTTAGTCAATCTTATATAACTGCATAATGATAAGAAAATAGTGCGCTGTTATAGGCGGGCGCACCTTATAGAGAACACACTTATCGGGCTGGACCATAAACAGAGAAATTCTCAATGTTGGCAGCAGCTCATGTTAAATTCATAACCCTCATATTAGGAGCTGCCCCCCCTCCTCTACAACGCACATGATTGCCGTGTACTGCGTAATTGAAAGTCAAAACTGTTGAATCACTGGCCAAAAGCTGCCGCTCCTTTCTGGCCAGGACACAGGCGCAGCACATAAAACAATACATATATATGTATATATAAATGTGAGCATGTGTGTGTGTGTGTGTGGGAAGGCTTTCATATGCAATCAGTCGATGGATAATGGATGCTTGCTGCCCCTGCCCCCGCCTCCGCCCCAAGCTGCCTTTAGAGAGTTGCCATGGGAATGTTAACGACTGCAAAGGGTCACTCTGCACACATACATGCATGACACCTAAGGGGGCGGGGAGCGGAGGGTGTCTGTTTAACAGACAGATAAGTTGGGTTATGTACGCCTGGCCAAATGAAAATGGCTTAAATTGAACTCAAACAAATGCGAGTGCGAAATGGTCTGCTTCATGCTAAACGTATTTCCAAATAATTTCAAGTTGTTTTTGCATCAACGCGCGCCAGTAAAAAGTTGCACAAAACTTTTCAGACCAACAAGAACTCTCTCACACACAGACACACAGAAAATGTAAATATGAATGAATATGAAATGTATTCAGGGACGAACGAGCGGGCTTTAAAATCCTTTTTACATAAATTTAAGTGTACACACACACACACACACACGCACAGCGTACCCAACTTTAACCCTTGCCCATGCCCAGCAAAATCAGCTCAGGCAGAGGCAAGCGAAAAAAAAAAACACACTGTGAGTACGAAACATGAAAAGGATAATAAAGAAAAAAAAAATAAGCAAGCAGCGGAATTTCACGTGAGTTAACGTTGAGAACAAAGCGCGGCCTAGGCGACTGCAGCGGTGCGCTGCGCAAAAGGCAGCGCATGAGAAATGCAACGGAAGGGTGAATGCGACAGTGAGCCAGGCCTTATCTCCTCTTTTAAGCACACGCACACATATACATACACACATATATATATACACAGGCACACGCACTACTTTCCATTCTGCAAAAGCAGCGTGACAAAATAAAGTTTACAGTTTTAAAGGCTTATTTTACTGTATATATTTTTATATGCATTACTTAAAATTGAACAACAGTATGTAAAGTACATGTATGTAAATATGTAACAGCAATATGTAAAGCAGATATGTATGTGTATGTAATACACTCGCAGCTCGCTTGCCAATCGCAAATGTAGATTTTGTGTGAGTGTGAGTGTTTGTGTGTGTGTTGGGGGGTCACAAAACGCTGTTGCTGCTACATCCCCTTCTTCGGCGACTTCTTTTCTGACTGAAGGCGCGCTCAGGCAGTTGTTGTTGTTTGTGGAGTGAGAGCGAGTGTGAGAGATTCATTTAATTTGGGGGGCAGCGCAACAGCTGTGCGCTGACAGGCCGGCAACGACAGTGTTGTAAAATGACAACAGCGGAGAGATAAAGAACGAGAGAGAGAGCACACATAAATAAATGCAATTGCAAATCTCGCTCAGTCTTCTTCTTACTCCGGTTGTATGTGTGTGTTGCATTACCTGTGTGTAGAATTGACTGCTAATCCAGTTGAATGCGCGGCATTTTGTGTTGTTGTTGTTGTTTTTATCCAATTGCTGCAAGTATTTAACGTAATCCAAAACGCGATGCAGCAGTTGCTATTGTTGTTGTTGTAGTTGTTGTAATAATCCAATGTGCAGCTATTGGCATATTTCCACGCACACTTTCACAAATATACACACATATAATTTCTGCGTTTCGTTTTAATTAGATTTTCAACAATTTTTCTTGTGCCTTTCTTTCTTCAGCTTCAGCTTCAGCTGTTTGCGCTGCTACGTTTTATTGCTTGCTTTACACTTTACTCCGCTACTTCGTTGCTTTTGATATTTCTCAACACACACACATACACACACTAATACTCGCACAGCATAGAAACTCGAGCGCTGCTGCGGCTGTCACTTTGGGTTATTTGCTTTCGTGTGCACCTTTATTGTGTATTATGCTTTGCCTTATGTTTTCCGCACACACACACACACGAGCTCAGAAACGCTGCTGACGCGCACTGCGATGTTGACTGCGACTGCGACGTTTACATAGACGTCGTTGTGTATATAAAGCGCAGGCTGTTTGCTGGCCACAGCTATCGTTGTTGTTGCGGCATTTGTCACACGAGACACAAAGGAAATTTCTAGTAAGCAACGTTTCCAATATTTGGTTGCTATATATGATTTATTTAATTAACTATTTTTATATTTATAAATATTTTTTATTTATTTATTGTTATTTCATTACACTTAATCCATGTACTTTGGCTGTGAAGTTGAAGCACTTTATGATTTGGCGGCGAATATGCGCGCACGTCTGCTCGACTCAACGTTTCGCGTTCAACTGATGAGACCACTGCTGCGGCGCTGCCTACGCTGTCTTATTTACTCGTACACACACATATGCAACGCCTATTTACATTGACTGCGGCCAACTGCCTGCCCTCTGCTGGCTATTTTACGTTTTCCTTTTTGTCTACTGCGCGCTCAGTGGCTGCCACAATGCTGTCTCGCTCGCACACTAACTCTCACTGGGCGTGCAACTGCTGCGCACTCGCTCTCGCTTACACTCGTGCGCGACGTCCACGATTTTATTTGCGTTGGTCTCTTTTGCTACTCTCATACGGCGCACTCGAAACGGCGACGGCTTTTATTTTTCATTCGCTGCTTGCGACCGCTAAACGAACCGTTCTCGTTCGAAGTTGGCTTTGCACTGAGCTGTATATATCTGGCGACGTCTGGCCGTTGCCGTTGCCCGTGTTGTTGCTGTTGCTGTTGCTGTTGCCGTTGCCTTTTGGCTCTTCTGCTGTGCCTGCTGTTTCTTTGTTTCTTCGATTCGCGCTGTCGTGCCGTGCCACACACATTTGTGTGAAAGGAAAGGGCTGTCGGCTGTCTCATTGTCGACGCGTATCCGTACTTGGCTTATGTACAAAAAGAATTATATACATACATGTGTGCACATATTGAAGAAGCGTGTATGTTTTTCTGGTATATAAGCGCGTTGGCATGGATTGCCCTTCAGCTTGAGTATGTGTGCACATATATCACATACATAAGCAAGCATTTTTGCTTTGATCTTTGCTCAGAGCACGGATGTGCACACATACTTAAGTATATATAATGAAGTAAGTTATACGATATGTATGTATGTATGTGAATACGTATTGAAATCTATATACAATACGTGTACATAAGCCAGCATTTCGGTGAGTTTTTATTGAAATGAAGTGCAGAAAAGTGTGTACATAGTATATTTATATATGTATATCCGTAGAAAGTTATGTAAAACACAAAAATAGGATTATCTAAGGGTAGTTAGCTGTATATTTATTCGCACTGTCTTAATCCCAGGTGTTTCCAGCGGCAACCATTGGCCTCAAGTAACGGTGCTGCCTTACCAGTGTTGCCCCGCACACATCTAGCATTATTTCTGGATTTAACGCCCCGAATTTGAGGCTCAGGTAACAGAAAACCGCCAATTAGTCGACTGTTGTATGTGCAAAAACGTAATCCTACGCCCTCTTTAGATTCGTATATTGTATAAAAATGTTTTATTTTGGGCTGACTAAAGGCAATTCAGTCTATATGCTCGATAAGCTGTACTTTAAATGTTTCCACTGATTTTGTATGCCGAAAACATCTGTGAAAATGATATATTTCTTGCAAATATGATATAATATGCGCTTAAATCTGTAAAATGTGTATAAAAAACGAGTCTTAGCAATGAAATAGGTAACTCCGCAGGAATTCTGATAGAAGTTAAGTTTGGAAATTCTTAAATTATAATGTGGAGTAAAGACATCTGACATATAATTTCATGTTTTATATATGTAGGTACCATGATAATGTGAAGTACATATATTTCCCTTATAAACAACCAGGAATAGTCCTATATTCCTTATTTAAATTTATAATCCTTAACAATCTGTGTAAAAAGAACGTTTGCATACTTTGTTGAAACTTTGTATTTTCAGAGGTGTAGTCATATTTTCTTAAAGAAAACTCACACTTCCCATCAAATACATATGCATACAATATTTTGCTGTTGAATGATTTATAAAGCTGTCCAAAATTAACATTTGTCAGGCTCAAAGCTCATGAACAATGAAAAAAAACGTACATTTACTTTATGATTCATCATTTTTAGATCATTTTTTCTTTGTAATAGATTAGTATTCGGTATTACAAGGCAACTTTGTAGGCTTTTAGTTTTTAATTCTCATATATAATTGCATCAGACGTATATTAGCTGATCTTTCGAAAAGTTTATATTCCATATGAAGTCCCCAGTTGAGTTCTCTATGTATTTCAGTTATTCAAGCAAGTAAATAACAAAGAATCGGGTTCGAATTTGAGGCTAGTCTATGGATTTGGTTAAATCTATAGTAAAGCTGTACTTTTTCAAAAGTTAGATGGATTTTTATTTATTGAACCCCTGTCAAAGATAATAATAGAGCGAAAAATATACATAAAAGTTAAAATTTCAGTTTGACAAATATTTGCAATTTAAAAACTTGTTTTACATCTGAAAGAAAAGGTATTCCTCAATTGCGAGTTCTATCATGGCAGCTATCGCAATAGGTTTTCTTGGCTAGAGTCACCAAATTTGTAGCTTTCGGAATAGTTCATACAAATCAAGTACCTTTCCCTACCTTACCCTACACTTTCAAGTACCCCCCTTGCGAGAGCTGCCTTTGGTTTTGGTAGAAGACGTTTCAGGGTATCCCCTAGTCGGCCACTCCCCACTAGAGCACTCTTGCTAGTCTGATAATATTTCCTAACATTTCGTAGTTCTTTGAAGATGACAGAAAAAAAACTATGTTATGTTATAATATAATAAAAAATATCGTATATACATATATCTTGATTCTAGATAAGCGTATAGTATGGTATAGTTTAGTATAGTATAGTATAGTATAGTATAGTATAGTATAGTCTTGTATAGTATAGTATAGTATAGTATTGTATAGTATTGTATAGTATTGTATAGTATTGTATAGTATTGTATAGTCTTGTATAGTCTTGTATAGTATAATATTCTTTGGTTTACAGTTCAAGTTAAGTATGTTTCCCGTAAATGAGATTTTTTTCGCTCTGCTAAAATCTGCCCACTTGGCAATTCGTTGTTTCCGTAGACAGAAACTGCATATTTGCACGTAGGCAACTAATACACTAAAACACACACATACACACACACACACACACACACACACACACACAAATAGTCTACACACATGTGAATCAACAATCAGCATTTGCTTTGTTTTTGTTTTTGTTTCCCTCCTCTATTCATAAAGTCTTCGCGCAAAAAGAAAAAAAAAGCTCTCCAATCAGTCGACGTCTGCACTTTGCACATTCTTTCATCAGATGTTTCTTTAGCTTCTTCTTCTTTGTTGTTGTTGTTCTTCTTCTTCTACATCTTTTTGCCGTTTTTACCGGTTCTGTGGCTCCTGGTCTAATGCTCTAATCGCAATCGTTTGCCGTTGATTATGCAAACAGGTGCTGGCTGGCAGATCTTCTAATGAACTTGCTTGTTAAAGTGCTTGTTAAACAAATTGTGCCTCGATTTAAGATTTTCCTTTCCTCTACTAGACTTTAGATGTTATCGGATTAGTTTGGTGGAGTTTCTGAAAAATATTCGAAGTTTGTCAAGATTGATTTTTCAAATATATTTCAATTGTTTTTTATATTGCAACTTTGGTAACTAGAACTTAATCAATCCGGAGTTTGACAGGAAGCCTGAGTTTTTTAATCGTTTCTAGAAGTTAATCGTCTACTCGGGATTTGTTAAGAATCTCGAGTTTTTAAATATTACACTGGATAGCAAAGAAACTACTCGAATAGCTCAAGAACAAAGTCTTTCCCCTTGGTAAAAACTCAGTTAGGGTAAGTAAGGGTTATCTTTTTATAAGAGTATTCCATGAATCGCTTTATGAAATCCCTTTATAGAACAGTTAAAAATATTAAGTTTCCCAGTACAGTTCTGTATTCGTATTCGTATGCTCCACGTTAATTACACAAATGCGCTTAATTTTATTCAGTCTGCTTTTTATCAATTTAAAGCTTAGCCCTATAAGTTGACATTTGAGTCATCTCGCATGCCGAACCCGTGACAAATCATGCATTGCGACATAAACAAACTCATGAAGTTTTCAACCACAGATAAAATTCTTAAAAGCATTTACAATCTATGTATGAAAATATGTATATATTCAAATATTTAAATGAAATATAAATATATAAGTATATAACTTATAAACATTTTGTGTATATTAGAAATAACTCCCAATTAAGGCTCTTAGTTTTATACAGAATCTAGGGAAAGAGGGAAATCCAGTTTTAAGTTATGTACGTCAAAAGGTTCCAAAAGAAATTCCATGTGTTATTTTTAGAACTCCCAAAATAGTCCAAGATTATGCTGCAGAACAGCTTATAAACAATATATTTTGTACAATTTCAAATTATTATAAGTCAGGTTATTTGAAACCCGTATTTCTTAGAATTTAAGTCAAAAAACGTTGGTAAATAATAATAATGAATAATACTATAAAATATAATTATCAGCATACTTTTCAAGGCCCTTAACTAAAACTTCTCCTATTTGTTCAGTTTCCTTAATAAATGAGTAAATATAGATCATTTATATGTCGAGAACTGCAATCGTTATATGATATAGCTAAAAGTTATATCATTCTTGTGAGTCGCTTCCTGGACTCCTTAAATATAGACTAGGATTACGTGAATTATATAGATATATTTAGGTTTAATGTAGATAGAGATGTTATTAATAATTCTCTGTTTGTTGAAGTTTATTACTGGACTAGACTTAATAGATTGCTGGGATATAAGTAGTATAGTACAAAGGAATGTATACATAGATTCTATATAGATTGAGATTGAGTTCGTTGATTCGTCAATTTCTGATAAATTACTAATTCCTCGTGGATTTTAATGCTAGTTATGTATGGATTGTGAATAGAGAGATGGACTTAGCTTAAGTTTTTCTGTTTATAAAGAAGTATACCATTATTTTCTAATGGATTCCTCAGATGAAATATCCTCGGATGCGATATGTAGAGGAAAATATTGCATATAGAGATACAGAGATGGAGATATAGATGTAGTAAAAGTTTTCTTATATTTGAAAATGACTATCTAATGGATTGCTAACATATAAAAAGGTTGGTAGATAAAAAAAGAGGGTTGCTAAATAGATTGGAGGATGGATTTATAGCCAGATGAAATGATTTTAATGATAGATAGATGTATTGATGCAGCTTAAGTTTTTCTATTTATTAAAGAGTCTGGGAAGATATATAGATGGATAGATAGATATATAGGTAGATGGATAAATACATGATAGATAGATAGATATATAGCTAAAGATATATTCATATTTATAGGTAGATAGATAGATTTATAGATGCTACAAGAATTTCTCGGAATTTTTAAGCATCTTTCAATAAATTCTAAGCAATTACAAAGATAGATACTTGGTATATGGATATAGATGGATTGACTTAGTTTAAGTTTTGTAAAGAGGCCAGCATTAATAGAAAGATTGATAGATAGATAAACAGATGTTACAAGAGTTCCCTTGTTTGTTAAAGACACAACTATTAATAGATAGATAGATAACTAGAGATAGACAGATGTTACAATAGTTGATCTGCTTTTTAATGAATAAAATAGATGGATTGT